CTCTGCCCCCCCCTGGGGGTTGTTTTTAAACCCCCCCAATCCCCCCCCACCAACCGGCGCCCACCGCGGCTGAGAGTCTTCGGGCCGGGGTTTGCCGCCCTGCCTCTGGGCATGCTTTAAAGCAGGCGGCTGGAGTTTTCCGCCAGCAAACCGCCTGAACTCCAGCGCAATTCCCGATTGATCCCCTTGTTTAATGTGCTTGATGCTCGACTTGGCTTTCATGATGGCGAAAAGATCCTCGAAGCGCTCCCGCAGCGCACTCGTGAAATCATCAAAGTTTGCTAGCTCCGCGGCCTCCGCCTCGTGCAGTTCCAGGACCCACTCCGCTGCCCGGTCTTCAGGAAAGCCGACACGTAGGCGACTCTCTCCACATCGTTCCGGAATAGGTGGCCACATCTCTCCATGTAAATTCGCACTTGGGTCAGAAAACACGCCAGTTGGCCGGGGTTCCCCCCGAAGTTCTTCAGCCCCCACTGCTGCGGCGGGCCTCTCTTCTCTCTCCTCTTTCTGCCAGGGGGATCTCTCTCCTCCTCCTCCTCCTCCTCCTCCTCCTCCTCACTGGGTAAGGATACCTCACTCGCCTCCTCGCTGTCCCCTGAAGTTGTGAGGGGATCGGGGTGACAGTGTCGGTCCCGGTCGCCCAGTACCTTCTCCAGCATTCCCTTCAAGGACTTCACGTCGTCCGCCACGGAAGTAATCTGGAGCTCCATCTTACTCATGCGGGCCTCCAGTGCGGCAGCCCAGGGTTCTGGCTCTCCATTTCGACCTGGAGCCCCCCGGGCATCTCCCACGCCCATCGATTTCTTTCTTGAGGACGAGGCAGTATCATATTTTGGCGCTTCTCCGGTCTCTTGGAATCGAGACCGGCGTCTGCCCTTGCCCCTGCCCCGCCGCCGTCCCGTCATCTCTGGTCGACGCAAATCCACCCGACTTTCCTTGGCAACGTTCGTTCCGGCTAAAATCCAAACGTCAGTTCCAGCAATATGTAAGAACCGCGGTCCTCAGTTCCCAAGGAAAGCAACTCCCGTTGAAACCAAGGCAGGTTCAAAGGAAAGTTCGTTTATTGGAGAAGCAGGGCACAGCTCTGAAGCATTGCTGGGACTGAGTCCCGTGCGCGCCAAAACTCAATTTTACCCCATTCCCATCTCCCCACCCCCGTCTTTGTGCACGCCACCGGTTCTCTCCGGGTCTCACGCTGGTACGGCCTTGGGCATTCCTGAGAGCCAGATAACCGTCCATCTGCGCCTAATGCCCAACCGCCCACCCTTCCCGCCCCATCACTGTCATGGCAGAAACGAAGCAAGCAAGCTAGATGGGCGATTGATTGATTGATTGATTGCACAGAGTCTGACAGCCAGCCTCGCGGGGCGCAGACGCTCAAGGGGGCCGAGGCTGGGTGAATACCCAAGGAAGCGGAGGGGGAAGAGACGCCTGAGCGCGGGCACCCTGGCTGAGGGCGCTGGGGGGATCCTGTGGGCCAGCTGGGGTCAAGTGGAGGCGGGGCAGCCCCCATTGGGGTCCCTGTCCTGAGCACGGGCTGGACTAGAGGGCCTCAAGGAACCCAAGGAGGCAACATTATTCTCTTCTTTTTTGGGAGGCGGGGGAAAGGAAAAAAGCTGAGAAAGCCCCCCCCCCACTCGCAGCTTGCCAACTCCCTTTGGGGTGGCTGTTTATGACCCCCTTTGCTTCTTCCAATTTGCTTCCTCCCTCCCCTCCCCTTCCAATTTGCTCCTCCCTCCCCCCCCCCCCCCCCCCCCGCTTCCCTCGCCCCCCCCCCCCCCCCCCCCCCCCGCTTCCCTCGCCCCCCCCCCCCCCCCCCCCCCCCGCT